CTTTATTTAATTTCTTTATTTTTAAAGTATGTATAGGTAGTATTTATAAAGTTTTAGCTTTTAGTTTTGGATCTGTTTTTAGTTGTTTTAATACTACAATTGATTGCTTCTGTTGTCCTCATTTGTAAGTCGCTTTGGATAAAAGCGTCTGCTAAATGACTAAATAAATAAAAATAAATGAATAAATATATAATCTAAGTTGGCTCACCTGCACACTTTGAGGCGTGTAGCCGTTCCACAAGAAGTTGGTGCTGATTATGGGTTTGATGTGTATTTCTGTGCTTCGGTCTCCATCATTCCATATATCAGTAACTGCACTGTAGTGCACAGATGCCTGACTGCAGACTCCCTTATGACATGGGGTTTGAGACAGCTCCACCTCACAGGAGGACAGGACTAAATCAACGCCAAGGCCCTTCTCATCTGCCACTGGAGACAAATCTTTAACATTTTAGTATGTAAAAAAAGAATATTTACTATTTGCAGATTTTCAAAGCACCGAGGGACATTTCTGACACATATTTTAAAGATTTAATATTTAGAACAAAATATTACAAGTTTGAGTACAAATGTGAATTTCGCAAAACCTATGTCCCAAAATCCAAAGATATTTTTTTCTCATTATTGTATTAAAGCAGACAAAAACATACTGAAATTGTTTTTAATTAAAATGAGAACATATTAAAAATAATTAAAACAAATACTATTGTGAAAAAATAAATATTGTAATATTTGCACATACAGTAATGAGAAAAGGATTCTGATGGTCTAAAAATATATTTATTTTCTTTATAATATTATTTTTGACCACCTTGATTACTAGAGGTAAGATGCAAAAGTAAAGTGCATCTCTGTGAGGAACATGGTAAAGGTACTGTGCTCTCCACTGTCAGTTCATACTCTCTCCCATCTTCTGAAATAGAGACAGCTTGTGGTTTCATCTGGAAAACATACATACAAATATGATAAGTCTAGTGGAAATCATATATTTTATGCAACATATCCTCGAGAACTGAGACATACTTGGATGCCTGCGTAAAACTCTTCACTCTCCACAGGAAGGCTTTGCATATCGGGAGACTCCAGAAAAAAACTAGTGCAACTGCAATGGATCTGAGACACAAAATATATAGGTTATGGTTAATAAATATGAATTTGAATAAATGTGCATACTGAATACAAAGTGGGTACCCTGTCTCCCAGTCGCAGGTTAATTCCATCCAGCTCAATGAAAGCAAAAGTCTCTATTGTAGTGTCTTTCCTGAGCTCTTCTCTGGTGCCCTCGGGCAAGAGTCGCCACCATGTCACCACATATCCCAGAGAGCTGTTCCCACTACTGTCAGCAAACTTACACTTCAGGAACACACTGCTGCCGGAGAGCTCAGCAACTATCAGAGGTATTGCAGAAGAGGGGGGCTGTAGTTCTGAGGGAGAATTGACAAATACTGTACTTCAAAAATCAAATACAAGTAATATATACTATCAATATCTTAATTATAGAAATACATTTGTATAGTGGTCGACCGATATTGTTTTTTTTGACAGCCGATGCCGATATCTTGGAAAGCAGGGTGGCCGATATAAATTTATTTATTTTAATTAATATTTAAGAAATTTGAAATCATTTGAAAATGGATAAAAAAATAAATAAACATACTTATACTTTAGATGGCAAAGTATTTTTCACAAATAAATATTTAAGAAAAATATAATTAAAAAGGAAGTAAACTGTAACCAACAGAGCACTCAGTTTTCTGGGAAGTTTGTGTGCATTGGGAATCATATTTTTTCAAATAAAGCCAAGGTAACACTCATTTTACATACAGCATACAGTGAAAATGACATGAATATGACAGTGGGCAAATGCATAAAGCGCAGCATAATTTGAAATCACAAATTTAATGTTTAAAGCATTCAATTTGCAGGACCGAAAGTCACGCAGAGAACACGCGATCATGCAGGACACACATGCACACTTCACAAGATGGTGTGGTTCACAGATCCACAACTGGATTCCACTAAGTTTGCAAGGTTTGTGAAATAAAATTTTCATTAGCCATTCAAAGATTTGTTTAAATTATGTAAATGTGTATTTGCTGGAATGCTGACGGCAAATGAGAAAGTATTATAATGTTTGCCTTTCTATTACTAATAATATAAAAGTGCGCCGTCAAAATAAAATGCCTCCCATGCATCGGCCAAACAGAAAAACTTATCGGCCGATGCCGATATTTGAAAAATGGCAAATATCGGCTGATATATCTGCCTTGGCGATATATCGGTCGACCACTATGTATTTATACATTTAGAGAACATTACAGCCATTTTGTGTGAAATAGAGGATGGTAACTAATTTTGGTTACATCTAAAGCTGCCTTGAGACATATCTGTAACTGTTAACTTCAGACTATGCTAACTTATACGAATCAAAAGAGTTTCACCAGAGTGAATTTGGAGCACATTAAAGTCATTTTGTGTGAAACAGAGGAGGGTAGCAGGTTTTGGAAATGTTTAATGGTGACTTTTTGGATTTAGTGACTCTGCTGTATGTCTGTAGCGGTTTATAAAAAAAATCTAAATACTTTTTAGGGTATATGAAACAAAGGAGTTTAGACATCACAAGAGTAAATCTGGAGAACTTTAAAGCCATTCTGTGTGAAATAGGAGGTAAACGATTTCAGCAACCTCTAGAACTGCCTTGTCAGATTTGGTGACCCTGCTGCATGTCTGTAGCTGTTCACATCAGCCCAAAATGCTAAATGGCATTCTATCTGAAATAGAAAATGTTTGGAGCCACTCCAGCTTTAAAACAACAAACGAGTGACCCAATACCTAGATTTCAGGCCAAACTCTTAATCATCAATGAAAACTTCAGTTCCATTTTTATGAAGCCTGATGAAAGGGGCACAGTTAAAGTAAGTGTTTTGAAGGGTTCCACTAGAAGGAAAAGTGGGTGAGAGACTCTACTGGGGTGCCTAAGATCAGGAGAGGGATTACTTGTGACACTCCAAGTGGAAACACAAAAACAACATCAGAAATACATTAACTTCTGCTAGATTCATTAGCAGGAGAAGACGGGGGCAGAAACATTCCATATGATTGCCAACTCTAAATTGTTTTGATGAATGCGTGAAAAGAGAACTCTAACCTTTCAGATATGTTCGGTTCATTTTACTGCATTTGTAAACATGCATTGATACAGCAAGCTCTGGAAAATCATTTTGTGAGTCATTCCACATTAATGTGTTAAATTAGTTTGTTTAGATTATTTAGTTTTGAAGATGCATATTGCTAGACAGATCTGGACTGATTACCACGGCAAGTTCCATCACTATTCCTTTGTCTCCCGTCACAGCTGGTTTGATTGGAGTCGGACATCTCTGAGAATATAATAAAACTTCATGAAGTATCTTTCTGAACCCTATTGCTTTTTAAAGTGCCCCTATTATGCCATTTCCAGTGTTGCCTTTCATGCAGTATGTAATGCAGCTGTATGTGAATGTAAACGATCTGCAAAGTTGTAGAGCTGAAAGTGCATGATAAATAAAGTTATTTTCTCCCAAAATAAAGAATCGACTCTGAACAGCTGAAACGAGTCGTTAGTAATTCGAATCCCACTTCCGTGACGGCTA